GCAGCGCCTGCATACTGTTTTTTTCTTTGTCTGTCACCTTTTCTCCTTTTTCGTATCGTTTTAGAAAGAAACCGTAATGCTTCCACACATCCGATTTAAAACCCGCTTTAGGTTCGATCATTTCCAGCTCTTTTTCTTCCCCGCTACTAGCAGCACACTCCATTTCCGCATTACTGGATCTGTAGTGACAACAGACCGCAAAGGATGATGGCCACGCCTAGGCTGATGGGAATTGTAGTTCCCGCTACCTCCCGTTCGCTTCATTCGCCTGAGCAAACTTTTCTCAGTAATATAGTTTTATTGAGTCATGCGCCTAGGGTAATATTGAAAAAAATTACTATTGTGGTATGACGGTATTTACAATATTGTTACATCCCTATTAAATACCTCATTATGTCAACTTAAATAGGGTAAGTTAACTTTTGTGAAAGTTCATTTGCAAAAAACAAAAACTGTGAGCAGACGTACCCAAGGTTTTGTATTTCGCTGTACACAGAAATGTAGACCTTGTAATGTATCCGTAATAAGCCTTGTGATGCTGTACAACAAGACTGAATTAATTTTTACATTACTGTGAGGGTTGGGTTTAATGTTGGGGTTAGGGTAGACGTTAATAAAATACAATTTAACCGGTAGTTTAATAAATAATCTTCTAGAAACAGCCACTTGATGGCTGGTCTCATGCATCCACCATGTTTGTAGTTGTATTGGAATTCACATCCAATGCGCAATGTGTTAAGGGCAATATTAGTGAATTTCTTTGAATTCTCCAAATTTCTACAAAAATAATAGACCATCCAGGAACCCTTTTTAACATGATTTAGTAGTACACTAATTCTATTTTCAAATGCTATTTAGCATGGATGGTATGCAAATTAGGGCACAGCATATATATATATATATATATATATATATATATATATATATATATATATATATATATATATATATATATATATACACACACACACACACACACACACACACACACACACACACACATATATATATATATATATATAGATATCTATATAGATAGATAGACAGACAGACAGACAGACAGACAGACAGACAGACAGACAGACAGACAGACAGACAGACAGACAGACAGACAGACAGACAGACAGACAGACAGACAGACAGACAGACAGACAGACAGACAGACAGACAGACAGATAGATAGATAGATAGATAGATAGATAGATATGTATGGTAAATGGAAAGTTGTGCTTGCTGGAATGCTGCAGCAATGTGTTCTAATATTGCAATTTGGTTTATAGGGTGAAAAACCTGCACTAACTAAACAAACCTGAAATAATATAAACAGATGTGCATGCACTAAACCCATGTGAGTAACATTGATTCATTTTTCTTTGGCTTAGTCACTGATTTACCAGGGCTCGACACAGTGGATTGAACCGCCAATTTATGTGAATAAAATGAAATGTAAATACTCATTTATGTTCAGAGGAAAGCAGAAATTCCTTCAGTTAAGTGTCACTATTGTCACAGACGCAGTGGTGAAGATTTATGCAATGCTGACCTGATAAATGCAATTAGACTACACCGAAAATCACACATCAGTGAGCAATAGCTCATAGCGACAGGTCAGAACTCTCAGATCACTGGAGTCATTCTTGTCCCTAAAGGACACAAATAAAGCTAAATGAAATGTCATGAAATAAAATAATAAATCAGTTATGGTTGCTGATACTAATAGGCCAGAACAGAGATCAAGCTCTACTTAAATATACAATGCATTCGGTCTGTCATTATTTCTCAAAGAAAAGAGAAAATCATTAAATCATTATGAAAATGATGCAAAATGTCGGTATATACACAACTGATAGGGTACATAAATAAATAAATATACAAAATTTAATCACTTTTTTTATTAAATGCATATTTATGTATGCATGTATACATATTTATATAAATATTATAGGCAATATTTAACATTTTAAATGGTATGTAATATTGTTAAAGTGTATGTAATATTACACATTTGAAATTTGTTCCAACATTATTTTTTTTTTCATTTTTACTTGTATTAAAAATATTTGTTTATATTTTTATAAAATAAATAAAAAATACCACATATTTTAATACAAAAAATAATAATTATTATTATTAGTATTAAAATATGTGGTATTTTTTTATTTAATTTATAAAAATATATACAAATATTTTAATTTAATAATACAAAAATAATTATATAATATTATAAGTGTATTATTAATAATAATAATAATAATATAGTAAATAATAATTAAACACACACACACACACACACACTTGATGTCAGAATTATTAGCCCCCCTGTTTATTTTTTTTCCTCCAAATTTTGTTTAATGGACAGCACATTTTTTCAACACATTTCTAATCATAATAGTTTTAATAACTCATTTCTAATAACTGATTTATTTTATCTTTGTCATGATGAGAGTAAATAATATTTGACTAGATATTTTTTTAAGACACTTCTATACAGATTAAAGTGATATTTTAAGGCTTAACTAGGTTAATTAGGTTAACTAGGTAGGTTAGGGTAATTGGGCAATTTATTGTATAACGATGGTTTTGTTCTGTAGACTATCAAAAATATATAGCTTAATGGGGCTAATAATTTACCTTAAAATGGCTGTTAAATTTTTTTACAAATTATTATTATTATTATTTTTTTTGCTAATTAACAGTGGGGCTAATAATAAAGGGGGTTTAATAATTCTGACTTCAACTGTAATAACAAGTTTGTGTTTTGAAAAAATGACTCAAGTCATTAGATTAGTCAAGTCATCAGTGACACTTGAAATTCTAATATGCAGATGAAAGATTCTTCCCAACTTTGATGTTTTTTTTAACCAGCATGTACACCCTGCTAAACAAATTCTTTGTTCATAAAGCCTGGAACAAACTCTCCTGCAAATAATGAATATCTCATGAATATGCCTGAGCGGATGACGCAGAAAGCATCTGGAGGACGGATGCCTTTCATCTTAGTGTAGTGGGACAGTGAGACGCTCGCCCAAATCTCCTGATAATCCGCCTCAGCTCATAATGAAAGGGATAAATCAGGACCCTGGACAGTGACAGGCGGCTCAGACTCAAATCAGCACCATGGTCAGCGGCACATCCACTAACCTGGATATCATTCTGGGACTGGCTTTATAGAGCATTATATAGACAAAAGGTACCAAATTTGTGACAGCAACACTAGATGTAGACTAAACAACAATCCATAGCTACAAAAGGATGACAATCACATTAAACACAGCTCTGTAATGTGATTTGTGCCACGCAGCTCTGTGTTTGTGATGTGAAAAACTGCCTGCTGATGAGATCAAAGTGTCCAAACACACAGACAGCTGTTAAACACACTGATCATGAAGGATAAGAAGGTGCATTACGGAGTCAAAGCCAAATGTGACTGAATTGTGTTGTCATTGTGCAAGGATTGGAGCTGCAAACGTTTGACTGAACCACGACGCTTCTGTTACAGTGATGGAGACTTATGCAATGCCGACCTGATAGATGAGATTTTACAGCAGCAACATTTACAGCGCACTTCGCTCGAAGGGGAAAAATTAAATCAGATAAAAAAAAAAATGAACTGCATAATAATAATAAAAAAATAAATAAACATCAATATATATATATATATATATATATATATATATATATATATATATATATATATATATATAACAAAATTTAAGATAAAGTATGCATAAAACAATACATTTAATATAGAGTAAAATTGTATATAAATAACAAAATATTAAATATGCATAAAATAATACATAAATATAAAATATAGAATTATTTATAAATTATTTATAAGTCAAAGTTTAAAATATGCATAAAATAAAAGACTTATTGTAAAGTAAAATTATATACAAAGTATTTATAAATAACAAAATATTAAATATGCATAAAATAATGCATTTATCATAAAATTAAATTATATATAAACTATATATAAATAGCAAATTATAAAATAAAATATGCATAAAATACTGCATTAATTATAAAATAAAATATATTAATTATATATAAATAACTTAATTTTAAAACAAAATATGCATAAAATAATACATCATTCTAAAATAAAATATATAAATTATATATAAATAACTAAAACCAAAATAAAATATGCATAAAATAATATATTATAAAATAAAATATAGAAATGATACATAAATAACTAAAACCAAATAAAATATGCATAAAATAAAACATTATAAAATAAAATACATAATTTATATATAAATAACTAAAACGAAAATATGCATAAAATAATGGATTTATAATAAAATAAAATTATATACAAATTATATATAATAACAAAATATAAAAAATACAACATGCTTAAAATAAAATATATAAAAGAAGAGCAAAATATGAAATACAATTAAATATGCATAAAATACAAAAATGCATTAAAATATACATAAAATATACATAAATTGTATTATATATGATTGTATCACACACACACACACACACACACATACACACACACACATATACATATATATATATATATGTATATATATATTAATAAATAGTAATTAATAATAAAGTGACTATTCCCACTGAAGTCAAAGAAAAATATAGAATTACACAATAATAACAATAAATAAAATATTCAATAAAATAAATAACTCAACATTTAAGAAAAAAAATGCATAAAGCTTAAACAGCAGCTCAATAACAGACCCCAAATCAACCCATGCTCCAATACAGAATCAGACGAAAGACAGAATCAAGCAATGAGCCTCCGTCAGAGGAGTTGATATAAAGCATCATGACTCTGAATGACGGCAGAGCGAGGTTCCCCTTCCACCACAGCTTTATCTGCGTTTAGTGTAAACACACACACACAGCACGGGTCTCCAACACAAGAACACACACACCACTAAAACAGCCCATTGCTATTCGGCTCACAGCAGGCGTGCAGTAAAGACAGAGCAGAAATCCTGGCACATTCCTGCACTCACCCTGACTGTTGGCGGCTCCCTCTGCCTCCTCGCATTCGGTCAGGTTGTTGACCATCCTGCCGTTCGAACGCTCTCCCAAAACTCTGCTAAATAAAGCTGAAGAGCAGACGAGGAGACGTGTGGGATGAAGAAGATGGACTGATCTGATCTGCTGTCCACCTGCTACAGCCCAGAGATAAATCAGCGAGAGATGCGCGATTCTCTCCTGCGATTCTCCTCTTCTTGCGCTCTTCTCTTCTCTCCGCTGCTCTGCTGGCTGTAGCGTGACTCTCTCTCTCTCTCTCTCTCTCTCTTTCTCTCTCTCGTAGGAGGAGTGTGTATGAGAGCTCTGAGCGGCTGGAGTTTACTGGATGATGGAGAACACACTCGCTCTCCCACACATCGGGATCTGTGCACACATGCTCTTCTGCGTACGCTCAGCATAGGAGCTGAAACATTTACAAAAATGTCTAATAATTATTTAAATTAATGAGAATTATTTTAAAATATTCAGTAATATATTTATTAAAAAGTGTGTAAAGATTTGAGTTGAGTAAGTGTGTAAAGATTTGAGCCAAGGATCCCTGAAACAAGACAAAAATTACTAATTTAAAAAATATTAAAAAAAATAATAATTTAAATACAGCAAAAAATATACTAACGTACCAAAAACAATATACAGAGATCCATAAAATATGACAAAAAATAAAACAACATCAATAACAAAAATAAATAAATTAATAAATAACAGTAATTTAAAAAGCAAGTTATTAAAAAAATAATAAATAATAATTCTACTAAAATATGTCAAAAGATTAGAGTATACAATATCCAGGGATACTTGAAACAAAAGACAAAACAATAAATAAAATAAATAAATAAATAAATATTTATTATAATTATGCTGGAGGCCGCTGTCGAGTGACCGTCTGTCCGACTGACTGACTGAATGACTGAACGGTTGACTGGGAGGCTGGCCAATCGGCCGACCCACCCTCCTCCTCCTCCTTCCCTAAACCCAAGCAACATTTTACAAAAGCCGTCCTAAAAAAGGAAAGTCCTCGTCTGAGGTTGACCACGTTTTCAGATTTCACCGAATTCACCCCCTGTTATGAACTCGTTCGCTTTTTTTTGGATCATGTTTTTTTGTCTTACCTGATTTCTGAAACTGCTTTTTCCCGTACTTGAACCCAGTCATCGCAGCCGGCTCCCTTGCTCAGCCATAGTAACACAAGGTTTATACCAACCCAGGTTTGTTCTGGAAACGTAGCCCTGCGGACATTTCTGGAGACCGCAAAATACCTCCCGGGAGGTACGTATTTGTGCACTTTTTGTTTTCGCAAATCCACGAGAGGCCGATGTATGCGCTTTTTCACGTCTCGAATGCCTCTTGCGAGCGCTGTTCGCACCCCCGCTGTTCTCGCGTAAAAAGCTGCCGGAGGCCGCTGTCGAGTGACCGTCTGTCCGACTGACTGACTGAATGACTAAACGGTTGACTGGGAGGCTGGCCAATCGGCCGACCCACTCTCCTTCTTCTCCTCCTCCTTCCCTAAACCCAAGCAACATTTTACAAAAGCCGTCCAGAAAAAAAAAGCCCTCGTCTGAGTTTGACCACGTTTTCGGATTTCACCACATTCTCCCCGTTATGAACTCGTTCGCTTTTTTTTTGGATCATGTTTTTTTGTCTTACCTGATTTCTGAAACTGCTCTTTCCCGTACTTGAACCCAGTCATCGCAGACGGCTCCCTTCCAGGCCTCCGCTCGGCCATCGTAACACAAGGTTTATACCAACCCAGGTTTGTTCCGGAAACGTAGCCCTGCAGACGTTTCTGGAGACCGCAAAATACCTCCCGGGAGGTACGTATTTGTGCAGTTTTTGTTTTCGCGAATCCACGAGAGGCCGCTGTATGCGCTTTTTCACATCTAGAATGCCTCTTGCGAGCGCTGTTCGCACCCCCGCTGTTCTCGCATAAAAAGCCGCCAGAGGCCGCTGTCGAGTGACCGTCTGTCCGACTGACTGACTGAATGACTAAACGGTTGACTGGGAGGCTGGCCAATTGGCCGACCCACTCTCCTCCTTCTCCTCCTCCTTCCCTAAACCCAAGCAACATTTTACAAAAGCCGTCCAGAAAAAGAAAAGCCCTCGTCTGAGTTTGACCACGTTTTCGGATTTCACCGCATTCTCTTATGAACTCGTTTTTTTTGGGATTATGTTTTTTGTCTTACCTGAGTTCTGGAACTGCTCTTTCCCGGACTTGAACCCGATGACCGCAGCCGAATCCCTTCCAGGCCTCCGCTCGGCCGTCGTAACACAACTAGCTAAGTGGACAAGCTGGTCGCGGTGGGAAAGCCCTCCACACGGAGGTGAGGCGTCAGCCTGCGAGAGCGAAGAGGAGCGCCGTTCTCTAGAATCGCGTTCTCTAGAAACGTCCGCGGGGCTGCGTTTTCAGAATGAGCCTGGGTTGGTTTATACTGTGCGATTGTCACTCACATGCACGAGCATCGATTTACCTGTGATTTCAGGCATTCGTCGTCGATGTCTCAAAACCGGTCTTCGAGTCAAAATCATGGCTAAAATCTTGCAGTCTGAACTCGGCATAAGGTAATGTAATTTCACTTTGTAAGGCTTTCACCTGATTGACATCCTGAAAATCTACTGTAGTTTGTTCAAATCCTCTCCAGCAGCTCGCCACTAAATAACTGCATTCTGCGCCCGCAAATTTGTTTTGTACAATAACACAATCAATGCGATCAGCGGGCTCACATCAGCCACGCTCGGAGCAAACAGAAGCGGGAAAGAATAAAATGGAGAAGGGAAAAGAAGAAGCGCACAGATGCAAGCTGGAGTCTTTTATCCGAATGCTCCATTCAGATTCTCCCAGCTGATGCGTTCGGATGCAGCCGGAGAACAGATGCGCATTCCAGCTCGCCTGCAGTTACAACTGAATCTATGAAGTCACCGAAGAGAGAAAGAAAAACGCATTTGGCCACGAGTCACAAAAACAATCCACATGCTTCTGAAAGACATTAACGTGTCTACATGAGGAACGGGCTGAGGGGATTATTCCAATGACTACACACACAGGCACACACACACACACACACTCCAGTGCACATAAATGATTTCTGATATCTACAGGGATTTCACACCATCCTGATTCAATCATCCTGATGCAAGCACATCCACACCGCTTTATCTTTGCCATTATGGCAGCACATAATAATTGACTTGATATTGTTCAAGACACTAGTATTCAGCTTAATGTGACATTTAAAGGCTTAATTAGGTTAAAGTTAGGGTAATAAGGTAAGTCATGATTCGACCGCTGTTTGTTCTGTAGACAAACGAAAGGAATAATGCTTAAGGGGGCTAATAATATTGACCTTAAAATGGTATTTAAAAAAATGTAAAACTGCTTTTATTCTAGTCGAAATAAAACAAATAAGACTTTCTCCAGAAGAAAAAATACTATAGGAAATACTGTGAACAAATTCCTTGCTCTGTTAAACATCCTCTGGGGAATATTTTAAAGAGGAAATAAATTCACAGGAGGGCGAATAATTCAACTGTATGTCTCATGCATTTGCGTATATGTTGGGTCCCGTTGAAACTGAAGTGAGAATGAGATTGAAATTGTAGAGATAACAAGATCAGCTGGTTTGTTAATCTCAGGTGATTTCTGTCCAGTCACTGGTGCTCATTTTTACAGCAGGAGATGGAGCAATATTCAGGATGCCTGTTCAAGCTTTTTTTTTTTTTTTTTTTTTTTTTAAATAACTGAGTTACCACATGGCTAATACTTATACCTGTGTTCTATACGACACCAAGTTCATATAAAAATCAATAAAATTTTCATTTGTGATTCAATAATACTGGAAACAAAATGAATATCTTAAATGTTGAAAAATAACTACCAAGTAATAATATTATTAAAATAATAATAATAAAAAGGTGATATTGTATTTTATTATTATTACTATTATGATTATTATTATCATTGTTATTATTATTATTAATACTAAGAATTATTATTAATATTATTGTTACATATAATATAACTCTTTATTAAAATATATAATTTCAAAAAAAATATTTAAATATATTATTTTATTATATATTTAATTATTTATATCAATGAATAAAAACTTTGTAATAACAGTTACCATTATAAAATACAAAAATAATTACTGAATGTAATAATAATAATAATAATAATAATAATAATAATAATTAGTATTATTATTAATACTAATATTATTAATAACAATAGCATCAAAACAATAACAATAACAACAAAAATAATAATCGTTATTATTATTATTATTAAAATATTATTATTTTAATTCTTTATTATTATTGTTATAATATATTACAGAAAATATAACTGTTTATTTTTTTTACTTAAATATATTATTTTAATAGATTTAATTATTTAAATCAATTAAAAAAACTTTGTAATAACAGTTATTATTATAAAACACAAAAATAATTACTGAATGTTATAATAATAATAATAATAATAATTATTATTATTATTATTATTATTAATTTTACAATATCTAAACAATAACAACAACAAGAATTATTAATATTATTATATATTACAGAATACATAACTGTTTATTATAATTGTTTACTTTTACTTAAATATATTATTTTATTAGATTTAATGATTTAAATCAATGAATAAAACTTTGTAATAACAGTTGTCATTGTCTGAATATTTATAATATTAATGATTTGTATAGATGGATATAGATTTTGTAATAATAATTGTCATAAAACAAAACATTATTCCTGAATGTTATTATTAATAACAATGCTATATAATTAGCATATTATGTCTAATTGTGCAAAGACAAATGTTAAAAAACTACTACTACTACTGCTACTACTACTAATAATAATAATCATAAGGTATGTTTATAATAATCATAATAATGTAAATTTATAATAATAATAATATTAATAACAACAACAACAACAACAACAACAACAATAATAATAATAATAATAATAATAATAATAATAATAATAATAATAATAATAATAATAATAAATGTAATATTTATAAAAATAAAAACCCATCCACATGTACGGCATTTCTCTGCATACCATAACAATCAATATCCAGCAGCCATCACAACCAATAACAAATACACCTATATATCATATAAATAGAGTAATGCTCACATGTTGAATTATTTAGTGAACACACACACACACACACACACACACACGCACACACACACACACACGCACACACACACACACACACAGAAGG